ACCATAACATCCCCACTTTTAAATGGTCGTTCCCTAACACAAATTGTCAAATTTTCAAGAAGCCAACAACTATTTATTCGATCTCTGGTTAAATCAAACTTCAATTGTATTAGGCAAAATAGAATGAAATAAAATAAATAGGTTAACAAAATACGTGAGAAATCTTGGCTTATAGTTATTTCAAGAAAGGTTTGTCTGGGGGCTATTGGCACGTTTGTGTAATTTCTTTCTCGAAAAAAGAAAGACAACCCAAAAGTACAATATACGATTGACAGTGTGATTTAAAAAACTTTTTATGATTATGACTGTTAATATAAATATACAATAAATTCGCAGCCACTTGTCAGAATGGGGACGTGTAGAGAGATTATCATGCTTTCTGCTCGTTAAAACCATAGCAACAAGTCTTTGAGGGGTCTGTAGGTGGCCTTTTGCAAAGCTTAATATCTGAATGTCCCTATCCAATACACCCGCTCATCTTTTAGTGGCAATCCAATTTTCCGCCTATCATCCCGGTCGACCCCCTTTTGCAGGACCTACCTATTGTATTTATTGTTATTTTTTTCTTGTCCTGACCATGCATGAAGTGTTTGCTACTGGACGTTAAGCAAACAACAATCAATCAAGCATTTGTGTTTTCGGTCACCTGTGGCACTCGCACGAAGAATACATATAAGTTAAACAATGACTTATATATAACAATAAGGAGATGTGGTATGATTGCCAATGAGACGACTATCCACCAAAGTTCAAATGAAGTGGATGTAAGCAATTATAGGCAACCGTACGGCCTTCAACAATGAGAAAAATCCATAGTATATCTCACATATTTTTTTCTGAATTCAACTTAATGAGAAAGACTGAAAGCCAAAACTTAAGCATATCAGAGATCTGTTTATTTCCTTTTAAATCTATTTGTTGTTTGTATTTTTATTTGAAGTAAAGAACATTGTGTCGTGCGCAATGAAATCCGCATTATACGTTTTTATAAAGACCCCTCAGTCGGTTTCGCTCATAGTTGACTGTCAAAATTCACATGCATACCGCACAGTTCGTCCTGTATCCAGTTCTTGTGGTAAACTCTCAGGCCTCGGGACCAATAAATGTTTGAAGATAAAAAAAACCAGCACATGTCGTAAATTTAAAAATATTACGTTGACACATAAGTTCATATTCTATTACACTTAAGGTACAATAAATGTATACCGCCATCTTGGATTGTAAAATAGTAGCTCTCAATAGGTCTAGTTCTTTGCTTAAATCTGCAAATTTTAAGACAGATTGGCAATCAATGGTTAAGATTTTTATTGGAATAAAGAAAAATAAGTGATATATTGCATTATTCAGACTGATTTATCAAATACTAAATGTTTGTGCTTGTTCAAATCAAATTGTCAACTAAGCTATTTAAGGGTAGATAACTCAAATAGTAAAAGTTTTACAAAGGAATGACAGAGAATTTCAATTTTAACTTGTAGCAAGAAAACAAAGGTCGCTGACACCATTTTTTCTTTTTATTTTCTTAAAGCATATTTTAAAACCTATCTTCTAATATTTTATTTCAAAATTCTATCTCATAGATTTCTTTTATTCACAAAAACATGTTTTTTTCATGAATAATCTATGCAAATTTAGGCAATTTTGCACGACTTGTAGCTTGAAAATTAGCACGGTGACCATACTTTGTATTACATTTTTGAAAAAAGCATGTAAAAAACTGCATTCTGGCAGAGTATAAGAAAATTCTATCTGAGGAAATATATACCAATGATCCACTTTAACTTTTAAACATCGATGTTCTATTCTATGGGAACCGTCTCGGTGGGGTCGTGGTAGCCTGAGGTTGTGGGTTCGAACCCGTCATGGTCAAACCAAATACATGGTATGTGCTGCTTCCACGCTAAGCACGCGGCAATACGGAGTAAGAGCGGGTGTCGGTATAGTACAAAGAAGAGTAACATGTTCTCGTCCTAAATATGCATTTAATTTGCCACTGGACGTTAAGCAGCCATCTATTCTATGGTGCATAGTTAACGGACCTAGCTTCTGACATAAATGTAAGACGAATTCTTGCTACACCTTTTTCTTAATATTTGGATCCGGTAATTCTTCCAAAAAATATTTTCAAAAAGTTAGAAAAACATAAACACTATAGAATAAAATGAAGGCATTTTCTTAATACCCCGAGAATAGATTACCTCAGTTGTATTTGGCAAAACTTTCGGAATTTCGGGGTCTCAATGCCCTTCAACTTTTTACTTTATTTTTGCCTTTTTAAATTTTTTTATTCGAGCATCACTGATGAGTCTTTTATAAAAGCGCCTGATGTAAAAGATTTTAAGCCTGGTATCTACGATGAGTTTATTCTTCAATATTGTTCTCCTTTGAAGCTTTAGTTAGCGGGGAAAAAAATAATGCTTTTTTGTCTTTTGTACAAGAGAAAAACATCTATGAAATATGTTCTGCCTTTTCTCAGGAGATAAATAACTCGTCTGAAAGGTTTTCTAGTATCGTGCACGGCAAAACAACACGATTACGTTCGGATTTTGTAAAATGAACAACAAAACCTTTTCATTAAAATGTTTTTCATCTGCTTTTTTACATGGTCAAACATGTTTTTTATGTCTTTGTATGAGGCACAAAAACTTTTATAAAATATCTTTCGGTCGGTCGCAATTGGTCATCGTACATAGGTTTCAAATAGTTAAAGTATTAATAAAGTGGTCATTTAAACCTGCTTTTGTGTAAATTTAGTGATCTGTCTTTAATTTAAATATGAGTGGGAAGTCTATGACAAGTAGTCAACCTTTTATTTGGAGATAATCTTGTACTTATGAATGATCGGTTACACTGACACTTATCTACACTTAGATCACCCAATTGAACTTGTAAATACACTCAACAATAAAAGTAAAGCAAACTTTAGTAATAAAAATTATGCTTTTATGTTTGAAAAGGGAATATAATTTGACAGGACATTTAGCATTTGATTCTGAAGGATTTTTTACAGACTTAAAGACATAATATAGATAGCAAAAGTAAATCGCAGTCTATAAGGATGTGTATACTGAAGAAACTAATATATACTTTATACTTTATCTTAAAATTGTTTAATATATAAAGAGATAATGTGTTTAGAGGCGAGCCGGTTATAGATCATAAAACTAAGTTTCTTTTCCTATCCTTTATCTCATAACTGAGGAGGAAAATCGTTCCGTTTATTTTTTTTCCAGGGGAAAATCGTTCCGTTTATTTAGTTTTTTTTTCCATCAAAGAGGACTGAATTATATAACTTTTAATTTTCATATTTAGACATTTAAAAAGAATGTTCCTACACTGTTATGATATTCAAATTTCCTACAAAATTAAATGCCAACAAAAGGCGTGTTGGGTTTCTTGCTCAATCTTTGTCGTCCTTTACACTTATTATTATAGTATTAATACATGTTGAAGGCCGTACCTTGACATATAATGGTTTACTTTTATAAATTGTTACTAGGATGGAGAGTTGTCTCATTGGCACTCATACCACATCTTCTTATATCTACATCTTTAGTTGTCTACACTTTTCGTTCTGAATGTTCCTGGTGTACGAATGTGCAGCCATTGTTAGTCGTTGCTTATGACAGTAGGAATTTCTTTGCGTAAGTGAGGGTTTAATTTTCGAAGTAGGAACGTACAAATAAGAATATCAGTTTCATTTAAAATACATGAAAATGAAAAAAAGATATTTCTAATTTTGATGAAAGAATTCTGTTGCTGAAAAGACTAGATACCAAGGGGGCGATCGAAAATGACAAACAACAAAAACAAAATATTACACAGAAAACCAATGATTTAGCAACATGTACCCCATCGAAAAACAACGATAACCTCACGAGCTCCGAAAGGGTAAGAAGTTCATGCTCAACAAGTGGCACCCGTCGGAGTTGCTCATGCAAATATCTAGTAAGAAGTATCATTCGAACTTTACACTGAAATATTTGCCCAATGTATAACCATTTATGACACACGTGTAAGCTCTATACATTTAAAATTTCTTATAACGAGCTAATATTTAGTTTAAACTATTTGTGAGATCACAGTTTGTGGTGGTTAATTATTTTACGGAGGAGGGTTTTATCTGAATTGACTAGCGTTACATGTATAGAATTTAAAAAGCTTATCTTGGGTTGTACCTGCTGAACAATGAGGTACATTAGTTTACAGTTACATACACTGACTGGCCCTTTGTTAAAAAAAAAATACCGCGATTTCAACAAAGACACATATGCCAATAATCGTTGTTTTTTACTTTTTTTCTCTTCTCATTTGATCAAAATTACTATTAGTTTTGAATCTTCTATATTATCTTATTATAAAACAAAACATAGCAATAAAACAATTTGTTTTGATAAATAAAAAAAATAGCTTTTTAGATACATGTACTATCAAACTGATCAGCATGTATTACTAATACTACTACTCTAAATCTATAATGTCATATTTATTTGTAACAAATCACATATTGATCTGTCATGTTCATTGTATATATGTTAAATTAATATTGACCTCTTGTTACACATATATTTCAAATAGTTCTTGAATACTTCAAAAAGAACACTAGTTCTAATTTATATCTAGTTTTTCATATTTTTTTCATTTTTACTCGTTATCGTTGGATTAAGGTTTTGTAAATAAAATAAAATTGTTATTTATGGGTGTAAAATATTTGCCATTTAAATTTGAAGCTAATGTATCATTATTTATTCAAGTATTTTGAATCTAATAATAGCATCACATAGATTTATTGATTGAAATCGACACTTTCGGTACAATTAGTTTTTTAAACAAAGTTCTTAGGCTACTTTAATATTTATTTTTCATTTGAAAAGTACAACTTTTCTTCCATAATTATTTATCTGACTCCCGAGGGGTACAATGTCAGGTCGGAATATTACACCTTTAGTATACGATTACCTGTGTATTTACCTGCTCATTAACCATGACCAATCGTTATTATTAAATCCGCTATAGAATTTGTCTGTGTAGTTAAAGAGTGTCTATTGTCAAGACTTGACAAACGGGTAGAGCGCATTCTTATGAGAAGGCGTGCCCCACAAAACACACTTTCGATACAGAGGCCATTAGTCGAACAGGGCTACAGGAATAATCAGGAACCATGAGGTGGAGAAATTTATATATAATGATTCTGTGGTTCGCCACTATAGCACTAGTTTTGAAGATTTTAGGATATCTTCTGCCATGGTGGTTTGTGGCTCGTGCAACAGGATCAGAGACGGACCGATTCTTTATTGGAATTGTGTTTGGTCTAGACTGTGCTTCTAAAGTCAGTGTACAGAACTGTACAGAATACTCGATTGGAAATGCTCCTGTTGAAATTGCGTCATTAGGTAAGTTTACTGTTAATCTGCTGTAGAAAAAGGGGGTGACCAACTGATCACGGTTCATTCGACTGTCAAGTTTGAATAACTTATTCATACCAGCAGATGGAACTGTCTGATAAGTTTATTTGCCCGGTTCTATTTCCTTATCAATGTTCAAATTGTGTATAGATAATGACTTATCTTTTCTGTACTTTTTTCTCTTTTGAATCGTGTCTGTGTACCGTTGATCACTGATAAAGTGGTTTTTTTTTTCGTATGTTTACATTATCATTGCCATGAAGAAATACGGAGGTTCGAAATTAATTTTCAATCAAATTTAAACATTACGGCCCAATGGTATGATCAATAGGACTAGGACAACAAATTTTTCAGTTCAAATGTAACGAGTTCGGTTGTCAGAAGTCTAGCCCTCGAGTGGTAGCCCCAGTGTTGCGAAGGTAGTTAGTAATATTGACTTGTCGTACAAGTAATGTTTATGGCACTCTTATTTGCTAAGCAAACTCTAAAATTATTTAAGACAACGCTTTTTTTTATATTTATAACACTCGTACATGCATAGTTTTTATTGTAATTGATTTCACATATTTTAATATATTACGTAACCCTCTTTCATTTAACATTTATTTTTTTCGGTGGATTTTAAAGTTTAAAAGGTGAAAATATCTCAATTCACGTACAAAATACATATCTTCCGCATGTCATTTAAATCATTATATACAATTACATCTCCTTTTACACAGGTTCATTAAAGAAAACAATGCCTACCACCAATTTAAGTTCATTCAATTCAATAAATAGTCCGTGACACATTGATCGTTTATCATATATACTGAGTAACAATAGAAACTCAACTGCTACTCCAATTTTCAAAGTTCAAACCGACTGATATTCTTTGGTTGATGACCAATCGTTCTAAGATTTTGAAGACTTCTTAGAAAATGCATACAGCACATTTCCAGAAAATTCATGGGCGTTGCGATTTTCTGTTCTAAAAACGTTTACTAATTCCACATTTTAAACGAAAGAAAAACAACTTTGGACTGTACATTTATACCATAAGGAACCTGCTAAGTTTGTGGACAACCCATGATTAAAATCACTACATCATAAATTCCAAAGAGGGTGAACAAGAACTAAAATGGAAACATTTAGAGTCTTTACAATCACACCCTGCTAGTGGCTATCGGTACTGCAGATCATCTGCGGCAACAAGCAACACACATCAAAATCTGCTGTACACGATTGTGAAAACAGGCGCTGGAGAATGGACCCCCTTTTTTCTAATTTTTCTTTTATGTTTTTTTTTGAAATATTCTCTAATATTTTAACCTATTTATTAACGCGTTCTTTTCAAACGATACGATAAAAAAAATAACAGCAGTTTATATATTATAGGAAATAAGAATAGAGGGCAACTATTACAAACTACCTTTATTTTAATATTGTAACACATTAATTAAGTGAACATAGGTTAAAATATTAAGAGAATTTTTATTAAATATATATATATATATATATATATCTAGAAAAAAGGGGGGTCCATTCCCCAAGCGCCTGTGGTCTTGAATGACAATAGGGAACAAAGATCAAATTGTATCTGTCGGTCATAGGGTGTGACAATGTTTTTAAAGCGACAAGAACAAAACTTTATTACACCTTGAATGCATGTATTACAAATAAAGACGTGTTCTATAAACCTATAGCCCATCGCAACATTACATAAACTATTAATAATAATATCTTTAGGGTCTTGGTAATTATTCATGCTCGGTTTATTCTTCATCCTTGAGCCAAACTAGTTTAATGACCGTATAAAACAACGTAATGTTACACTTTTGTTACAGATATTTGAAAGGTTGACAAAGTTGTATTGGTATACATTTGGCATATTTTCAATGAAAATAACACTTCATCAATTGCTCGAGTCTACTTTTAAAAGAAAAAAGGAAAAACACAACAAAAAAACACAAACACATTACTAAATAAGCCCCTATGTATCGTTTTAGCCGTGTGTAGGGTTTTTAAATGATATTTACACTGATTTTAAATACACCATTTTAAATGTTTATGTTTACTGCCTGTAATGTTGTTTCTACTAATGCCTATTATATAGTACATTTGTCTTCGTTTTGGTCTATCGTGGAAATTGTCAATAAAAATGTAATTCCCAATTTGCGAGTTTTAAGACTATAAAATTAAGAATGGAAATGGGGAATGTGTCAAAGAGACAACAACCCGACCAAAGAGCAGAAAACAGCCGAAGGCCACCAATGGGTCTTCAACACAGCGAGAAAATCCCGCACCCGGAGGCGTGCTTCAGCTGGCCCCTAAACAAAAATGTGTACTAGTTCAATGATAATGGACGTCACACTAAACTATACACATTTCGATCATTTCTAAAATAAACTCAATGGAAAGTTAAATCATGCTCAAGTGGCAGGGTTCATGTTTATTATTATATACTTTTCCATTTTCAATATATAGAGATATCTGTACTGTCGTAATGCTAACATTGGCTTGTTGACAATACAGGTCCTTGATTTCATGTCATGTTAACATTTCTTTATCATTTGTTTCAGTGGAGTCTGCCTCTATGCTGACATTACAGATAGCGATGTCTGTCAATTTGGGCCTCCTGTTTATTTCCTGTATGATCATTGTCGGTTCCTCCGTTACCAAGACTTATAACCAAGGACTTATGGTCTTGACCGGTATACTAGTAGCATTTTCGTGTAAGTATAACGTTAAAATTACCGAACATATGTTATTACAATATAAACGAAGGTGTGAAAAAGAATTGAAGGACAATTCTTATATTAATTTGCTTTATAAATAATATTAAATCAAATCGCTTAGAATATAATGTCACTTTCAAGTCCTACTAGTGAAACCGTTTTAGTTATAAAGCGTAAAACGGAAAAAGCAAATTTAAGCCATTCTAGAACAAGAGAGAGTGCCATGATTCACAACGGTATAAAATATTTTGAGAAATTACTTAAAAATGTCTTTTCAAAAACTGAAAAGTTGTGCTAAAGAGCCTTTACAAGTACTTGCTCAAGCCAGATCTGACAAGCACTTACACACTTAAACTCTAAATATCCATTTACACTTTATTACGATTGGTGTGTGCTTAAAACTATCGAACTTTATGGACCAAATGCTGTTGATTACAGTACAAAAAACGGTGCATCAAATACAAAATACAGATCACATTTACTTCACGGACCTTGTAGCATCGAAAGTATGGGTCATTTCATGGAATTGTAATGAGTTTAGACTATTGTTTGAATTGTTTTACATTTTCATGTTGGGACATTTTATGACTTGATATGAGGTATGGGTTTTGCTCATTGTTGAAGGCCACACGGTGACCTATAGTTGCTAACTTCTACGTCATTTGGTATTTTGTGGAAAGTTGTCTCATGGACAATCTTGCTGCATCTTCTTATTTTTATATAAATAGCAAAACACGACACCTTCTAAAGCGTTTTCAAGGTATGCGGATTTTTGGTATTAATAAAATCATAAAATTGTGTCTGCCACTGTAAAAATGTATATTTTTTTCCAGTTTTTATTAGTAATAGCACAACTATATTCGGTATCTAGAATCGATGCAAAATATAGTTGTTCACCAAACAGGGTTCATCTGACCTTATTCTCGTTTCATGGTTCCGTGATAAACGCTTAATTTCGTGATTATCAAATTTAAAAATACCATACACATTTCATCGGGAGTCTACGGACAATTCGCATATTTGTACCACATTTTGCAAAAAAAAAAATGCAGTTTACGCCAAAAATACTTCTCCTTTCAAGATGTTAAATCTTGAAGTAGAACAATATAGAAATAAGAAGATGTGGTATGATTGCCAATGAGACAACTCTCCATGCACAAGATACCAAAACTTGTATCAATGTATCAGAAACCGCATATATTTACCTCTTAATATTTTAGAAGAACGTTAAAGAAAAACAAGGATTTTGGATTAAATCAATTTACAAATATAAATGTAAACAGAACAGTATACTGTGAAAAATACTTATCTCTTAGAGTTCTTACTGGTCTTGAATATGAATAAAATTTGCCACTGGACTTTAAACAAACAGCAATACACTAATGGAATTTATAAATGTTATTTCTACTTACAGGTGTGGCTTACTGTGTGAGTTTAGGATTTTTTATCTACATCCATATCAACGATATCAAGAAAATAGAAACATACGAGTACAACGCCACCAACTTCCCATGGTCCATGTTGGTTACTTCAGTAGCAGCGCTCTTCCTTTTTGCTACGTTGATTCTATTGGTTGTCGCTCTTTGTAGATGGCACGACGATGACGAAGATAGTCTTGTTAGTTACGACGAAAGAAAGAGAGTTGAGTATCCAGCTGAAACAAGATACGTGACATATGACAACCCGAACTCCAAACAATACATGATGGAGCGTCCGGTGGTTCATTCGAGTAACAGCAGAGGTTATAAGTATGCAGTTGACGCGCCGAGGTCACACATGCAAGCGATTACATATCCAGCTGAAACTATGTATAGACCGTACTCCGCTGCTAGGAGATACTAGACCAATTATGGTGCTAGTTTGGGGTTTTAGTTCATAAAATCCCTCAATTTGATTGTAAAGGGTATTAATAATTAACAGTTAACTTTGTTATTATGTTTATTATGTATACAAGTGTTTGAAAGTTAAGATGGAAACTTGTAGCATCTTGGTGCAGCTTCTCCGAAAACAGCAACCAGTCGAGTACTTTAAAAGTACATACGAACAACTTCCATCAAAGATCTCGGTATCTACTTACATAAATAAATAATGTATATATCCTACATTAATACTAGTCGTAATACTCACCCCATAGGCATAATATATTTGAAATTATATTTATCGTAAACCTTCAGTATGTTTGTACTTCATGACATTTTTATATTAGCGACAAAAATCACATTTTGCAATAAACACCTCTATATAAAGATGGGCGTTGAACTTTTATTTTATAACATCAAACGGATTAATTTTGACAAAAGATTTCAGGTGATTTTTTTTAAATAGGAAGTAACAAAAAGAACGACTACATAAATAACCAAAAGACACATAGTGAACAGCATAAATATGTCAACATCTGTATGTTGACATATTTATGGATAATGCTGTTCACTATGTGTCTTTAAATAATTATACCGATGTTTATTCATTATTTACTAATCAAATGTTCTAATCAGAGCAGAATATTTTCAATATGCCTAAAATATAGCTCTAAATTGCCCCGAGTCTAAAAAGTTGTGACCAAGTTAACAGAGACTAGCAAAGATCCGTCAACAACACCCAATTCTCAAAATAACAACAACAAAAGAAATTCTCTCTCAAAATAACAACAACAAAAGAAATTCTCTCTCAAAATAACAACAACAAAAGAAATTCTCTGTCAAAATAACAACAAAATATATGATAACCATGTACAAGGATCCTGACTTGGGTATGGCTCATGTACTGGTTTAACTAGTTTGATTATTGCTTTTTGTCGAGCCTGCGACTTTTGTCGCAAAAGCGAGACATAGCGATCCTGCATTCCGTCGGCGTCGTCGTCGTCGGCGGCGGCGTCCACAAATATTCACTCTGTAACTTTCTTAAACTAACGTGCATTTCAACCAAACTTGGACAGAAGCTTGTTTATGATCATAAGATAGTATCCAGAAGTAAATTTTGTAAAAAAAAATCCTGTTTATCCGTATTTTACTCATAAATGGAGTTAGTTTTTCTGCCAGTTAACATAACATTCACTCTGTGGTTAAGGTTTTTCAAATTTTAATATCTTTCGTAAACTATCCTGGATTTGTACCACACTGGGACAGAAGCTTGTTTGTGATCATAAGATAGTATTCAAAAGTAAATTTTGTTAAAAAAAATCCTGTTTATCCGTATTTTACTTATAAATGGACTTAGTTTTGCCAGTTAACATTACATTCACTTTGTGGTTAAAGTTTTTCAATTTTTTTTATTTTTTTTGTTTTTGGTGTTTTAACGCCACTTTTTAGCACCGCTTTTGGGCTATTTCGTGGCGGCCAGTTTTTATTGGTGGAGGAAGCCGTAGTGCCCGGAAAAAACCACCGACCTTCGATAGGAAAACTGACAATCCTAGTCAATTAAGATTGGAGTCGAGTGCACCGGCACGAGCGGGGTTCGAACTCACAACCTCAGTGTTGACTGGCTAGTGATTACAGTAGTAACTACTTAGACCAATCGGCCACCGAGGCCCCTTTTCAAATTTTAAAAACTTTCTTAAACTATCCTGGATTTGAACCACTCTTGGACAGAAGCTTGTTTGTGATCATAAGATAGTATTCAAAACTAAATTTTGTTTAAAAAAAAATCCTGTTTATCCGTATTTTACTTAAAAATGGACTTAGTTTTTCTGCCAGTTTTAAACATTACATTCACTCTGTGGTTAAAGCTTTCAAAATTTTAATAACTTTCTTAAAGTTAAAACTATCCTGGATTTGTACCAAACTTGGACAGAAGCTTGTTTATGATCAAAAGCTAGTATCTAGAAGGAAATTTTGTAAAAAAATAATTCCTCTTTTCCCGTATATTACTTATAAATGGACTTAGTTTTATTCCAGTTAACATTATGTACAGTCTGCAGTTTAAGTTTTTAAAACATTTATTAGATTCATACACCTTCTTGGATTTTTACCAAACTTGAACAGAACTTCTTACAATCAAAATATACTATCTAGAGGAAAATTTTTAATATTTTTTTCCCCATTTTTGTTGAGCCTGCGACTAACAGCAAAAGTAGGCGAGACAGTGGGTTCCGCGGAACCCTTACGAATTTTTTTATAAGAACTCAACTTTTCTCCCTTAATCTCATATCAGTGGATCAAACATTTATATTCAAGTGCATACAATAAAAACCAGTACAGGAAACTCACTTAACTCAATAACAAGTTGCTTTTAAAAAAAAAAAGACAATACGTGAACCTTAGAACTTTTTTATTCTAATTATTTATTCAACTGAATAAGAAGTTATATATCAGTGTTATCTTGGCCATGTGTGTGGATGATTATATTTTCTTTTTATTGTAAATCATTGCAATATGGCATCTTGAGAGAAGTGTTAAATATAAAGCAAGGAGAGAGAAAAAACGATTCCCAGACGTATAATTTCTTAAAGAATAATAATAATTCAAAACATGGAGGACACATGTACCTTCTTCCAAAAATTCATAAAATTAATCTAGAAATAAGTAATGAGGCATTGCGAACTGGTCAGCTAGAAGGACACATTAATGTTCGTTACCGACCAATCATCAATAAGTGTAACTCTCCCGCGAGAGATACTAACTTGATCTAATTATAAATATAAAAAAGAAGATGTGGTTTGATTGCCAATGAGACAACTCTCCACAAGAAACCAAATGACACAGAAATTAACAACTATAGTTCACCGTACGGCCTTCAACAATGAGCAAAGCCCATACCGCATAGTCAGCTATAAAAGGCCCCGAAATGACAAATGTAAAACAATTCAAAGAGAAAACTAACGGCCTAATTTATGTACAAAAAATGAACCGAAAAACAAATATGTAACACATCAACAAATGACAACCACGGAATTACAGGCTCCTGACTTAGGACAGGCACATACAAACAGAATGTGGCGGGGTTAAACATGTTAGCGGGATCCCAACCCTCCCCCCTAACCTGGGACAGTGGTGTAACAGTACAACACAAGAACGAACTTAAAAAATCAGTTGAAAAAGGCTTAACTCATCAGATGGATACAAACAGAAATACTACACAGAGTGGACGTGACCGGGTACTTTTATATCCCAACAACAAATAGACACTAAGTACAGATCTGAGAGTACTCGCAGTTACTGACAGCTAGTTCATAGCCACTAACAACTAATTAAAAAAATCATGCATCTAAGACTAAATTATCAATTAGTACACATCCAACATCCAATTATTGAAGAGGCATAACTTTTACATTCAAGATACAAAAAATTCATTAATAAAGTCACACGAGGTAAAAAAGTATGCATTCTTATTGCCAATAATGTACGTCAATGTACACAAATATGATCATTGATAATTTATAAGAAACTGTTATCAATGCATTAGAATTTATTGACACACAGGAGAATATACTTTAAAGATTCTCAACAAAATAGATTTAACTGTATTTGTTAAATCAATTCTTAGAAATGAATTTGAGTTTAATGGACTGTTATACAAACACATTATAGGAGCGCCCATTGTCACCAACATGCACAGATCTGCATCTGTCTGCCCTATTCATTAAAATATTAGATAAGTTCCAATGGAGAGAAAACATCAAATTACACTGTCAATAGGGATGACGGTTTTATGGTCTTCACAGGCAAATTAGAGCAAGTTGAAGATTTCTTTAACCTTGCAAACGAAATTGACCATCTACTTAAGTTCTAATATGAGGTGTCGACATCTAGTATGGCCTATTTAGGGGGTGGTAAAGGGTTATTTTCGTGCAACGTTTTCGGCCTTTTTATTTCACGTGTTTCCGTGTTTCGACGTTTTATTTCTCGTTTTCTCGTGTTTGGTTCGATGTGCGTGCTTCGTGTTTTCCCTTAATTATTTTTCGTGTTTCGTGTCGGTACTCTTATTTTCTCGTGCTTGTCCCGCATTTGATTAAAAAGTAAACCGGGACTAATTCAAAGTCAGCCCAAATATTATTTTAGATTATAAACTAATTAACTGGTCCCAAGATATTTATTAATATCCTATTGTATTACTATGATAAATCGGATGCAACTAACGGACCCTAAAAGGTGACCACATGCAGGGTCGCCATGTCCATTTATAATGACTGCATGATCTCCAAGAACGGCTGAGTAATAACTTTTGGTACTTTTTTCCTTAATATTTACGATTTATTCCTTGGCTTCGTTTTTTCCAGAGTGTTTTTATTCCGTGCAACGTTTTTGCGATTTGTTATTTCACGTGTTTCCGTGTTCAGACCCTCCCTTTTACCACCCTCTACTTAGATACCGAAGTGTACAAAAGTGAACGATTCCATAATAATGGAATTCTTGATGTTAAGTCACATATATTAAAAAAACCAGAAACGTATCAATATTTACCAATCACTAGTGCACATCCAAAACACACATAAATTTAAGAGCATTACAGTGTGTGAATAATATAAGAAATTTCTACTTCTACCACTAAGTGACCACCGTCATTTGGTTGACTATCCTGTCACTGTTTGGTGTGCGCTTGCATACTTAACAAGTCCAAAAATAATTTTAACAGGAAGGAAATAATTTGTGCTGTACATAACATTTATACATGATGCAAATAAAAACATGGGACTTGAAATTGAATGTGCATGCAATAGTCTCTTGAACGAGTAAAGACTTTCTGCAGCGGTCACTGAAATAATAGTGACATCAATGAATTAAATAAACATTAAATTAACTTACAAGATAACTTAATTGATAGAGAATACTGTAAAGAGGAAACAGTAAAAGTTGTAAAAATGTATATTAACGAGTCTTTATTTTACTTGTTTTATTTTACTTGTTTTATTTTCATTTGAAACAGATTTTTTCTATCTGATTTGTCAAAATGACAAGTGTGCATAATGATTTTATTGTTACAAATCAAATCCCAAAGCCCACTATAACTCATTATGTAGAAACAACAGCACTATTTTAAAATATCTCTCTGTGAATATCTAGACACAGATGTTTGATACCATAGGTCGTTATAATTAAATCTTGACCATATAACTTTCACTTGTTTATCATAGGGTACAACTGTCAACTTTGCTCAAGTCAGTAAACCCTTGCAATGCATAAAATGTAGCTTTACAATAAATATACATGTTTGAAAAGGATCAATAGATTGTTTATTATTCTATATCAGATAAGTGAATTAGTGATCTGGGAAAATTCTTTATTGCCATGTTTTTAATATCTTAGATACA